GTCGGAGAAGATGGCGGCGGGCCAGTCGGAGAGGAGCGACGGTGGTGTTTGCCGGATCTCCCGCCTCTTCTTCGGCCGGAGAAGAGAGAGAAGAAAAGAAAAAAAAAACTGAAATCAAGAATGAAGAAAGAATAAGAAGAAACCGAAAATGAAAACAAGAAAACGAAAACGGCTTTTTTCCGTTTTCAAAATTCTGGAAAACGACAAAGCCATTTTCGTTTTTGTTTTCTGATACAAATTTTGCCAAACACGTTTTTTATCTCTGTTTTTAATTTTTTACATCGAAAAATGTGAGAAACAAAAATGGAAATGCTACCAAACAGACCCAATATGTAGTTAAATTTTCTAGTATAGTTTATAATATGGTATTGTTAAAACTTAGGTACATGCATTAAGGTCATTTTAAAAAAGGCTTTTTGGTAAATTTCTCTGGAAAAATTATCCAAATACTTATAGAAGCAATTTTTGAAAAAAAACAAAAAACAAAAAAAAAAACAAAGAAGTTGACATTTAGTTGGAGGATTCAAATCATATGATTCGAATCATTTTCGATTTACGTGAATTTTTTTGTGAGAGAAAATATTGTAGCGAACTATGAAAATCATGATTCGAATCAGGGAATAAATCCCTCTACTAAACATCCTACAGCTTCTAGTAAGCAATGCCAAACAACCCATAGTCTGCCCTAAAAACTTTATCAGCCTCTCAAATTTGAGTTGACTAGGAAAAAGATTCTCATTTCCCAAACCATGCTTACTCCCATTTATTGTCTGTACTATTCCAAGGCATACTTAAATGAGTTTTACGGAGAAATTCATTTCTTCACTCATAATTGAATTGATCATCCATGACTGGACCATGTACGTCAATTTGTCAATGGTTTTAAAGAACGACACAGTCAAGGGACTTCCCAAATTTCTTTGCAGGTCCCAAATCTATGCAGCAGCTCAACTAACAGGAGCAATATGTGATTTACTTTGGCCGAACTATTACACCCAATTAAAGACATTGGCACTACTTCTCCTTCCGGAACAGAAATTCAAGCCCTAACTATGGAAATAGTTGTTACCTTTTCAATGATGTTCATCACTTCGGCCGTGGCAACCGACACTAAAGCTGTACATATCTATATCATTCAACTTATTACCATAAATGTTACAATAAATATTTAGAAAAATGTTAGGGTCACTCTTTTTGTCACTCTTTGTATTCACAGTTTAACACGTGAATTTCACTAACATGATATATTATTATTTAAACAGAAAATATGATAGTAGAGTTCACGTGTCAAACAGTAAATATAAAGAGTGATAAAAAAAAGTGACTGAAAAAGTAGTGCTAACATTTCTCAAATATTTAAGTCTACAAGTCCTTTGTTTTATTGGTCCATCATATCATTTGACATTTTTATTGTTCCACAGATTGGCGAGTTAGCAGGTATAGCAGTTGGATCCGCGGTTTGCATAACATCAATTTTGGCCGGGTAAGCAAAACTAACTCCTAGTTTTCCCATTACTCACTTTTTCATGGAAAACTTGAGAAAGATCTAGCCACATTAGAGTGACCCCATATATAAAAGGAAGAAAGAGGGAAATAGTCCAAGATTTGAGGTGAATTAAAATTAATAGGCTAATAATTTACATAAGTTAATAAATATGCCAAATTACTGTTTTCGTCCATAACTTGTCTGGTTATAAACCATAACTTGACAAGTTATTCACGATTTTTATCCATAACTTGTCTGGCTATGAACCATAACTTGACAAGTTTGTCCATAACTTATCTGGTTATGAATCATAACTTGACAAGTTATGGCTTATTAATTTCTATAACTAAAAATTGGCCTATATACTTTCTTAAGCTTTTCATATTAGCCTATTTTCTACTATTTCTCTATATAAAAACACTTTTTTTCTACTTATGAGTCCCAAAATATTATACCAAACTAATATTGAATAAAGAATATTTACTTCTTTTCACTTCACGTGGGTGCATGGTTAGAGCAAAATTGGAACTAGATAGTACTGGCCTAACAAACTTAACCTAGTAAGTGGTAATTATTATTTTATTTTTTTTGGGATGGGGGCTAAAGTTAACTAGACCGGTAACTGGTAGTCTGGTACATAGAATAAATTAAAGAATAGGAAAAGATGGGTAGATAACAATTTATGAAGTCTCTATATCCAGACCAATATCAGGTGGATCCGTGAACCCAGCAAGAACAGTGGGACCAGCAATTGCTAGTTCCTGCTATAAAGGCATTTGGGTGTATGTTGTGGACCAATAACTGGAACACTACTCGGAGCATGGTCTTATAATCTTGTTAGAGTGACTCAGGAGCCAGTTCATGAGCTATCCTCACGTTCAGTTTCTTTCAAACTCCGCCGAATGATGAGCAACGACGGGCACGTTTCCGGCAAAGAACCTCTCAGTTCAGTGTGACAAGAGTTGCAGGCTCTATATGTCTTGATCTTCAGCCCCACAACTAACGCGCCTAATTGTCCTAACCAGTTCATCTCATCTGTACTTACCAATGCCAATCACCTTATGGTTTTGCGTGTATCTCTGTACTTTAGTTCTACATTTTGTACCAGTTTGTGGCTGTTAATGAAGTTGCTCTATTGCTAATGTTGCGGTTTGTTCATATCACTTGGACAAGTGTTTTAGAATGGTCCCAATGAGGCAGATTCATATATTCTATCCAGTGTAAGAATACATACAACTTAGAAAGGTTCTCAAAAGTTAAATATAAATACATATTTAACTCTACATATATGCAAGCTCAAAACACGGATAATCATGTCATCACGGAACAATGCCATCAAACGTGCAAACCCATCAAGCAGCATTTTCGCACACTGCAAAACTCCCTGGGTTGATGGTAATGCTCTTCGTGCAATTATCAGTTTTGTATATTCCGACCAGTCGATCAGCCAACTCAAACATGTTGTTCCTAAGGCTGTAAGGTGGCAAGAGAGGGATTAACTGCTTAACCAAAGTTAAATACAAGAAATTCTAAACATAATCAACTCAAAGATTTAAACCTACCTTATGATTATGAACTGTGCGTCCTTTGTCCGGTCCTTAACGTAATGACCCACAATTGAAACATTCTTAAAATCTACAGTGCCACAGAAACCAGACAAATGAGTGGAAGACTAAAAAAATGCGTTTATTTTGTGAAAGTTGAAATTAGAGGTACCTAGTGCAGCATCAATTTCGTCCATAACATACAACGGCGTAGGCTTGTAGTGATGCAGTGCAAAAACAAGAGCTAATGAGCTTAGAGTCTGAAAACAGTAAAAACTAAGGTCAAATTGAAGTGTCATGTGGACAGAAAAATATAGTCATTCTGTAGGTGAGAAAATACGGAAAGAGTAATATGCAGAGAACCTTTTCACCACCCGATAAGTTGGCAATATTCTTCCAGCTCTTCTTTGGTGGCCTAACACTGAAAACAACACCTTCAGAGAAAGGATCCAAGGAGTCTACTAGTTCAAGTTCCGCATCACCTCCAAGCGTGATCATCTGTAGAAACCTCATTGGGAGGAAAAGTATAGCCATTATATTGCCAATGCACTTAAAGGCAAAAAATAATATTAATATAAAAAAATAAAGGTTATGGGATAAAATAGGGAGAAAGGAAGAATGTGGCACAAGTAGCATCTGATATGAGAAACTGAATTTATTCGCAGTGAAGGAATTTCCATCCCATCATAACTAATCAGGAAAAAAATGAATATGCACTTTTTCAAGCAAGATAAACATATTCAATTAGCAAACAAAGGCGGCAAAAAGGTTTTTGGAAATTGAAACTGATCTCATACAGGAGTTATAATTAAAAGAAAAGTCAGAGAGAGAGAGAGAGAGCTCAGTTTACAAACCTGATACATTTCCTTCAACTTCAAAGATATAGAATTGAACCCTGCCATGAACTCATCCAACCTAAAATTATAGTCATCTCATTCGATTTAGAATTGATCGTTTGGGGAACAAACAATAAAGATATGTACGCATGCAGGATATATAATATATTCATAAAAGGACCGTGCCTCTTTTTTCTCCATTCATCATATTGTTTCTTTATGTTGTCACGCTGTTGAGTGACTGTGTTAAGGTCCTCAACTCGATCACTATACACCGAGACCTTACTCCGGTACCTTTTAAAAACAAGCTCAATTAGCATAAATTAGGAAGAACACAATTTTGTCGGCAAGGGAAAGACATACTCTGCAATGGAATCAAGGTTTGGATTCATCTCCTTCAGTTGTGTCTCCAGTAATGTGACCATTTCAAGGCATCTTTTAAGGTCACAAGGCTTCTTAAAAGTTTCATCTGTCAAGATTGCTTGAAGCTTTTCAGGGTCCACTAAATCTCTCTGAATTCTGTAACCAATAAGATATCAACATTTTTGGTTTTGAAATAACTGAATTATGCATAATAATCAAATGCACACTATCAACACAAATCAATCCAATCGACATACTGCTCCATATGCTTTGTAAGAGCATTTTTCAATTCATCAAGCTTTTTCTTGTAACCCTTCCCCTTCAGTTCCAACTCGTTGTACAGCTTCTTCATATCTTTGAATTTATAATCTGCATCAACCTTCAACATTTTGACGAGATTGTTAACATCCACTCCCGAAAATAAATGATAACAATAGTAACCTGATTAAAATAAGTAGTTAAGGGAAAAGGTGGTAACAGTAAGGAGCATTTGACATCTTGGTACCTCAGAGGCTCGCAATTCGTCAACGGTCTTTTTCATCTTGTTGTAGTCAGACTTTGCTTTATCCAGTACCTCTTTATGTTTATCAATAAGCTATGAAATGCAAAGATAACAAGATAGAAGTAAAACCAATTCAGCATAAAAAAGGCAAAGTTGATGAAAATTCTTTTATTGTTTACTAAATGCATACAACAAGACAAAAAATGAATTGTTCCACCTCTTGTATCTTTTTGTAGTTCTCTTGAACTGTAAAAGCCTTCTGTTCTACTTCTTTGAATTTGTCTCGCAATTTTTCCTTCTCCTGACTGAGTCGTTCAATCTCCAACCTTGAGTCATCAATCCCCTTTCTTAACTTCATTATCGTCTTCTGGCCAGTCTCTATTTGGACTTTGTGACGGTTGATATCTGTGCTATTTTTTTCGATATCCTAAAATTGGTAGAATTAATTAGAAAAGAACACCAGTCTCACACATAATAAATGGTAATATATGTACTTACAGACTGGATCTTGTTGACTTTTGACTTCTGAGCTTTCAATCTTTCGCCACCTGCATTTTCAATATTTCTCTGAAGTTCTGAGGCCTGAAAACAGACATGATAAGAAATTGGAATTAAAGCTAAATATCCAAAGTTTCAAAATTCTATTAGAACTAAAAAACAGCCCAAAAATACAACACACAGACCCAAATTGACCACGCTGTGGTCAGGATCAAGAAAAGGTAAAGATGGAACTAAACAAAATAAGGTAAAATCAAATATTTCAATCACCTTGTCTTTCAACTTCTCAGACCCTTTTATGAGTTTATCAATCACCTTTTCTTCAGCAGAAATAATATTCTTGAGCTCCTCAAGCCGATTAAGTTCCTCCTGCTTTGGCTGTGACGCTGCTTCCAGGGAATCACGTTGCTTTTCAAGATAATTGTGTTGTGTATCCAGACTGTCAATCTGTGAAAATGGAAATTATTAAGCTAACAAATTCTTCTCAAAAATATGAAAGAAACCTTGGACATATCATTACCTCTTTCTGTGTTTTAGCTAATTCCATCTCCAAGTGTGCAACTGTTTTCTCTGAGGCTTGATATCTCCTCACTGCATCCGAAATCCTTTCACGGATGCTTTTCAATTTCTCAACCATCATAAAGAGCTCCTTCTCGGCATTTGCGACAGCTTCTGCGGATACACTGGTGACCCGGATAGATGTGCCCATCCTACCACCTCGAGGCTTACCTCCCCCACCACTCATTGTACCGGATTTTTCAAACAATGCACCATCAAGTGTCACCACTCTCCGAAATTCTTTGTTTCCACTGTATGCAATTCGAGTTGCCTGTAATTGGCCATAAAATGTTCTTACACTTATTCAAATCCTAAAATGAACTTGATATCAAAACATAGAAACTCCGAGGTTTTAAAATTGGTTACATTTGAAAATGGTGATCGATGTATTGTCTGAACCATTTTTAAGATGTCCCATGAAAAACTTTTAGTAGGTTTTGATATAAGAGAAAGGGAAAAAAAGAAAGACTTGACATGACGTAGCACTGTTTAGCATAGGCAACTGATCCAGAAAAACAAATATGCAAACAGACATTTAATTGTCTCAGCATACATTAAGAAGAATGTCAATATGCTTCTAGAACTATGAAGTATGAACTAGTAATGAACATGCGTACAGAACAAAGAACCATTAGATACACATCACCATGAAACCCCACCTGGTCAAGATCTTTAGCAACAATGGTGTTTCCTAGCGCCGCAAAGAAAGCAAGTTTCATTCGTTCATCATGAACTTTAATTAAATCAAAAAGCCGTGGAACTCCCTCCGGAGTTTGCACCTTCTCTTTCAACTTTGGTAACATATGAACTTGCTTTTCCTGACAACGAAATTAATTATAACATAGTCAGAAAATATCGTGAGTCACATATATGGCACGTACAGAATATGCAACTAATACTTGTACAGAAAAATATCAATTGTTAAAATGTTAAAATCCTGGTTGAGTCCCACACTGCTAAAGTATGGGCTTAGCATGTGGGTTTATAACTACTTGGGCACACCCTCCCTACAAACTAGCTTTTGGGGATGAGTTCTACCCAAGAGTTATAACAATTGGTATCAGAGCATGCCCCTCCTCAGGCCCACGTTGCGGAAGGGGCGACCTGGAAAGGCCAGAGTGGGCCATCCAAAGTGGGCCATCCCAAGTGGGCCGCCGTGGACGTCGGTGTCAAAAGCGTGGTGGTATGTTAGGATCATGGTTGAGTCCCACATTGTTAAAGTGGGCTTAGCATGTGGGTTTCTAACCACTTGGGCACCCTCTCCCTACAAGCTAGCTTTTGGGGATGAGTTCTACCCAAAGGTTATAACATAACACCACTAAATATTAAAGTGGCTACCAAGTTAACCACAGCGCAAACGAAGTTTAAATAAAGGTCCCCTTTGTTTTTTCTAACATCGCCTATGCTTGGTGATTATCTAAGATTGTTGAGATAGATTTATAGCTTACACCGTGAGATTTTATCGTGTTTAGTACACATAGCTTATGACATCCAATAGCCACCTTGAGATTTTATTGTGTTTTAGTACATCGTTTATGAGATCCAATAACCAATAGATATGCTATAACAAGTAATTTACTACATTCTCCAATAGATAGCAAATAATTTCAAATAATATTAACCAATAGATCCAAGAGATTTACTACATTCTCCCTAGATAGCAAGTAATTTCAAATTATACAAAACTATTTTAGGTTTTCAAATTTACTTACTGAAAAATATTAATAATTATCAAAATTTGCCAACAAACTTTTCCACGTATATTTCCTTAAGAAAAACAAAAAATAATTAATCCAAGATCCAATAACCAATAGATAGCAAGTAATTTCAATTTATACAGTAACATTTAAGTTTTTTAAATTTAGTTTCTGAAAAATACTAAGAATTATCAAAATTTGCCAACAAACATTTCTACGTATATTTCCCTAAGAAAAACAAAAAACAATAATTTGTCCAACTTTCATATGACTAATTACTGTTCAGCCAAAAACATATAATTAATGATCTGTAAAAGAAAAAGGTAAATAGTAATTACGAATAGTTTTTGTTGAATTCAGAAGTCAAAAGTTAGGGTAGTTAGTTTAGGAAAGTATTTTAGGAATAAAAGGAGAGATCAGTTGTGATCTTTTCTCATAATTTTGTTTCCTGATTTTAGGAGAGAATCAAGCTAGTTAGTTATTTCCTTATTAGTCATTTGTGTATATATATGCTATTGTAGGGTTACAGAATGATAAATAATAGAAGTTCAGAAATTCTTCATTGTATCAGAGCCAGTTTTCTGAACCCTAATCCCTTCCGGCCATCTCTCACTTCGGCCATCACTCATTCCGGTCATCTCTCTCTGGCCATCTCTCATTCCGGCCATCTCTCTCTGGCCATCTCTTATTCCGGCCACCTCTCGCCAAGTTTTCTGGCCACTTCTTCATTGTTCTCAGGCCAATTATCTCCGGTTTCTCTTATATATTTCCAGCAACCATATTCAGTCTTTCCTCTCATTTTTTTTCCGCAATATTTGAGACATGACAAAATACGGAATGGCATCATCACAAACATCCAGTGTCACAACCCCAAAATCAGGAGGCAGATCAGAGATTCCAAACCTTGGTGGCAGCGAATCTTCTCCTATTCTCATCACAGGACACAAATTAAATGGCCATAATTACTTACAATGGTCGCAATCTGTGTTGTTGTTCATCTGCACAGGAGAAGCAGCCATGCCAGAGACTACAGATTCGGGTTTCAAGAAGTGGAAGATAGAAAATAGTATGATCATGTCATGGCTTATCAATTCCATGAACAATGACATAGGTGAAAATTTCTTGTTGTTTGGAACTGCAAAAGAAATATGGGATGCAACCAAAGAAACTTACTCCAGTTCTGAAAATACTTCAGAACTATTTCAAGTAGAATCAGCCCTTCATGACTTCCGCCAAGGAGAGCAGTCCGTCACTCAGTATTACAGCACACTCATACGGTATTGGCAGCAACTTGACTTATTCGAGACTCACTCATGGAAATGTCCGGACGACGCAGCAACGTACAGGCAGGTTGTGGAACAAAAAAGGCTGTTCAAGTTTTTCCTAGGACTTAACAGGGAGTTGGATGATGTTCGGGGTCGAATCATGGGCACTAAACCACTGCCCAGTCTCAGGGAGGCCTTCTCCGAGGTTAGGCGTGAAGAAAGTAGAAAGAAAGTGATGATGGGATCTAAGGAACAACATGCCTCACCGTTAGATGCCTCTGCCCTTGCTGTTCGGTCATTCAACAGTAATGGCGGAGATCATCAGAAACGGGAAAGGCCTTGGTGTGATTACTGTAAGAAACTAGGCCATTACAAGGAGGCTTGCTGGAAGCTCCACGGCAAACCAGCAGATTGGAAACCAAAGCCACGGTTTGATAGAGACAGCAAAGCACATGTGGCCTCCAATTCAGATAGTGCTCATGTTCCCGAGCCTAGCCCATTCAACAAAGAACAGATGGATGTACTGCAGAAACTGTTTAGTCAAGTCGGCAGTGGCAGCATTACTGGGGCTGGTTTGGTTGCTTAAACTGATCCGCATACAGCCTTCACTGCTAACCATGGATAGTAGACACAGGCGCTTCTAATCACATGACAGGAGATGCTGCCCTTCTCCAAAATTACAAGCCAAGTAGTGGTCACTCGTCCGTCCATATAGCTGATGGTTTCAAAGTCAAAAATCGCCGGGACAGGTTCCATCAAACTTACTAAAGAGTTGTATCTCGACTCTGTCCTCCATGTTCCAAACTTGGATTGTAATCTTTTGTCCATTAGTAAATTGGCTTGTGACCTTCAATGTGTTACTAAATTTTATCCAAACTTGTGTATTTTTCAGGACTTGAAATCGGGGAAGATGATTGGCAGTGCTGAACTGTGCTCCGGGCTCTATCTCCTCTCATGTGACCGATCCTCAAACCAAGTCTCACAAGCAAGTTGTGTCCAGTCTCAGAGTCTTTTAGGGTCTTTTAATTCTGTGTCAAATTCCAATGTCAATAAAGATAGTGAAATTATATTGTTACACTATCGTCTTGGTCATCCTAGCTTTGTGTATCTTGCAAAACTGTTTCCCAAATTATTTATCAATAAAAATCCAGCATCTTTTCATTGTGAAATTTGTCAGATTGCAAAGCATACTCGAACAGTATATCCTCAAATCCCATACAAACCTTCAACTGTTTTTTCTTTGATCCATAGTGATGTGTGGGGACCCTCACGTATAAAAAATGTTTCTGGAACTCGATGGTTTGTGACCTTTGTTGATGATCATACACGGGTAACTTGGGTTTATCTTATGAAAGAAAAGTCAGAAGTTGGACAAATTTTTCACACCTTCAATCTTATGGTTCAAAATCAATTCAATTCTAGAATTCAGGTACTCAAATCAGACAATGCTAGGGAATACTTTACTAGTAGTCTCAATACCTACCTTCAGAACCACGGGATTATCCACTTAAGTTCTTGTGTTGACACCCCACAACAAAACGGGGTGGCTGAACGCAAGAATAGACACCTCTTGGAGGTTGCCCGGTGTCTTATGTTTTCGTCTAATGTTCCTAACTATTTCTGGGGGGAAGCCATTCTCACAGCTACCTATTTGATTAACCGCATGCCATCCAGAGTCCTTACCTTTCAATCTCCACGTCAGCTTCTTCTGGAAAATTTTCCTCACACCCGTGCAGTTTCATCTGATTTACCACCCAAAGTATTTGGTTGCACAGCATTCGTTCATGTGTATCCTCAACACCGTAGCAAATTTGATCCTAGAGCCAATAAGTGCATCTTCCTAGGATACTCTCCAACCCAAAAAGGGTACAAATGTTATTCTCCAATAAGCAAAAGATTTTACACCACCATGGATGTTTCTTTCTTTGAACACGTGTTCTTCTATCCCAAATCTCGTGTTCAGGGGGAGAGCATGAATGAACATCAAATTTGGGAGTCTATTCTTGAGTCAGTACCCTCGTCTCACTCAGAGTCACCACGGCCTTCTCAAACCGTGCCCATTGACTCATCCACACCTGTGCCGTTATCAGTCCAGCCCACAAACACAAATGTTCCATCTCCCGTCCAGCCCACAAATGTGTCTTCTCCCGTGCCTGTTCAATCTGTAGCCCCACAGCTTGCTAATGAGAATTTACAAGTCTACATTAGGGGGAAGAAAAGACAGGAGCTAGAGCACAGATCACAGCCAACATGTGGCCAATATATTGACTCAATTTCAAGTCCACCTGAAGAAAACATGGGTACGGATAGGGAGGGAGATGTGTCAACTCCCAGCGTTGATGACTCTACCCTGCCAATTGCATTGAGGAAGGGTGTTAGGAGATGTACAGATCATCCAATTGGGAATTATGTCACGTATGAAGGGCTATCACCATCTTACAGAGCATTTGCTACTTCTCTTGATGATACTCAGATTCCCAACACAATACATGAGGCATTACAAAATTTTGAATGGAAGAAGGCAGTACAAGATGAGATTGATGCACTTGAGAAGAATGGGACATGGACTATCACGGATTTACCAGGTGGGAAAAGGCCCGTGGGGTGCAAGTGGATTTTCACTATAAAGTACAAGGCAGATGGATCAGTCGAGAGATTCAAGGCTCGGTTGGTAGCTAGAGGATTTACACAATCCTATGGAATAGACTATCAAGAGACTTTTGCTCCTGTTGCAAAACTTAACACTATCAGAATTCTTCTTTCATTGGCAGTCAACCAAGATTGGTGTTTGCAACAACTGGACATAAAAAATGCCTTCCTACATGGTGACCTAGAAGAAGAGGTCTACATGAAAATTCCACCTGGCTTTGAAGGAAGTATGACAAAGAATCAAGTTTGCAAACTCCGGAAGTCCTTGTATGGCCTTAAACAATCTCCCCGAGCCTGGTTTGACAGATTCACAAAGGCAGTCTTGAAGCTTGGCTATGTACAGGGTCAGTCTGATCATACTCTGTTTGTCAAGAAATCTCATGCTGAGAAAATTGCCATATTGATAGTCTATGTCGATGATATTATTCTATCGGGGAATGATGTGAAGGAACTACAGGAGTTGAAGAAGTATTTGTCAGAAGAGTTTGAAGTTAAAGACCTTGGAAATCTGAAATATTTCCTTGGAATGGAAGTGGCTAGATCGAGTAAAGGTATTGTAGTTTCTCAAAGGAAATATATTTTGGACCTTCTTAAGGAGACCGGTATGCTTGGATGCAAACCAGTTGATACTCCTATGGACAGTCAAAAGAAACTTGGCACCGAGAAAGAAAGTGCTCCAGTAGACAGGGGGAGATATCAGCGTCTTGTTGGACGCTTGATCTATCTGTCACACACTCGGCCAGATATTGGTTTTGCAGTAAGTGTTGTAAGTCAATTCATGCACAGCCCTACAGAGGAACACATGGAAGCAGTCTACAGAGTTCTTAGATACTTAAAAATGACCCCAGGGAAAGGCCTATTCTTCATAAAGACAAAAAACCGTGACACTGAAGTGTATTCAGATGCAGATTAGGCAGGAAATCTCATTGATAGACGGTCAACGTCTGGATATTGTTCCTTTGTCTGGGGCAATCTTGTTACCTGGAGGAGCAAGAAGCAATCAGTGGTAGCCAAAAGTAGTGCAGAAGCTGAGTACAAAGCACTAGCACAGGGAATTTGTGAAGGGATTTGGATAAAAAGGGTTCTAAGTGAACTGGGACAAATGAGGTCATTTCCTATTCTGATGATGTGTGATAATCAGGCAGCTATAAGCATAGCCAAGAATCCCGTGCATCATGACAGGACTAAGCACGTTGAGATTGACAGACATTTCATCACAGAGAAGGTGACTAGTGAGACAGTTAAATTGAACTACATTCCTACCAAGCAACAAACGGCAGACATCCTCACCAAAGCTCTACCAAGACCTAACTTTGAAGACTTAATTTGCAAGCTGGGGTTATATGATATATATTCTCCAGCTTGAGGGGGAGTGTTGAATTCGGAAGTCAAAAGTTAGGGAAGTTAGTTTAGGAAAGTATTTTAGGAATAAAAGGAGAGATCGGTTGTGATCTTTTCTCATAATTTTGTTTCTTGATTTTAGGAGAGAATCAAGCTAGTTAGTTATTTCCTTATTAGTCATTTGTGTATATATGTGCTATTGTAGGGTTACAGAATGATAAATAATAGAAGTTCAGAAATTCTTCAGTTTTTCCTGTATTTATTAAAAAAAGCAAACAATTAGACCAATCACTATAATACACCTAAGTACCAATATCATGAATGTTGCGACACCCAGGTTCTCTCTCCGCAGTAGCTCCACACATGCTTGTGCCGCACCGGTTGTCTCCACCACTATGTAATCAAGTCCAGCGCATGATGTTGATATGGCGACGTCATATTTTGCTGCAATGATGACATCATTTCAACAAAGAATTAAATTCCTCCGCAAAAAAAAAGGCAGAACACGAACCAAATATTAACAATTATATGGTAATGATGTAAATAATATAAACAAAAGAGCACAAAATAAGCGAGAAGTCTTCTCGCTTCGCACCAGCAAACTTCAACAGATTAAAAACACAATGTAAGTACCATATATTTGATCGAGAAATGATGGAACTCCAATGACATAGAACGAAGGAAAAAAGAGTGAATGTTAACATCATAAGATTTCCACTTGTAGCATCTTTACCCATTGAAATAAGAAGACTATTATTACCATGTGGGATTTGAAGAGCGAAAAAAAGTACTGCAATCAAGACTAACCGTGCTAAAAAATTACGCTCACCGTCAATGGCTCCTAAGTCGCCCATTCGACCATATATTCCCTGTATCCGGTTGGAATCCTTAGCCTGCAAAACTGCCTTTAAAACTGATCCCTGACTCTTCTCAGAATCCATAACAGACTTGAGTTCCGCAACCTTCTGTCTCGTAGCTTGTTCAAGAGGAATCAGTTCTTCTTGTTCTCTGATGCATTCCTACAAAAGTGCATTTCTCATCATATCCACAATTTCAAAGAATGAACAAAAGACATTCAAGTTCAAATGTATTCATTAAACACGAACTTGCTCTGCTTTACGAGCTTCCAGTGCTTCAAGTTTGTTCCTTTCTAGATCGTGCTGAATTTTTGTGATGCTCGCAGTTTTCGTTTCAATGGCTCCCAATATCTTTTCCATCTGCTTTTGAGCATCTTCAAAAGCCACACGACCAGCTTCATGCTGAAAAAATCAACTACTTTCAGCCCAACGTTTGGAATCCTTTTGGAGTTAAAACAAAAATGATAAGATACAACGTTTGAGAACGCAAGAATTCAGAGCTGGCTAAAATCGTATAATTTTTCCTTTTTTTTTTTCAGACAAAGAAACAATGGGCTAAAATCATACGTTGTGGTAGAAAAACAATTTCTTAAGAAACTCAAAAGGAAATTCGACACGATAATAAAATAAACAAGAAACAGTGTAGCTAGCGTATGGAATAGTTATTATATTAAGACCCTTAAACTCTCAATATAACCCTAAACCTGACCTTTTCATCCAGAAGCTTTTTTTCGGTACATGCAACTTCAAGTTTTCCGTTATGCTCAATCAGTTGCTTTTCCCAAGGTTCCAAAGCAGCACGAACTTTTGTAAGCTCAGATCGGTATCTCTCTGTTTCAACTGCTTGCGAATCAATCAAAGTACAAAATAAGTTAGAAAACAGTTGCCCAACCACATATGCTCTTAGCAATTAGCATTTATACTACGATAGATAACAAGCATTTTCTTTTATGCTAAAATAACATAGGAACAATATAGTCTCCACTCTACAATTCCTAAAACCAGAAAAATTAAGTACCAGTTACCACCTTTTGAATTCTCTATAATTTCCTCTAGCACTTTCTCCTCTTCTGCCAAGAGCTTTTGCAGTTTTGGAATGTTTTCTTCAAGTTTTGGTATCAGATTTGTTGAGTTCTCACTCTCTTTCTCTAGGTCTTCAATCTTTGATGAATCCTGAATTGGAATCCAGATTTAAGATTTATGAATCCATTCAGTTCGTTAACTATATAACTAAAGCATTTTCTTACCTTTTCAACTTTATCTGTCAGTTTCTTGATCTTTTGCTTCATATGCTTTAAATCTTCCCGATATTTGACGTCCTCCCTTTCAAACTGCTTGAATTCTTCTTTGCATTTTTTGAGTTCATTATCTAGTTCCTACTCATGTAAACGAAAAGATTAAACACATTCATGACAAAATGACTAATATAATGCTTTGACGAACAAGAAATCGTAATATTATGAATATGTAATCAAACCTCTTGTCGTTTCATATACTTATCATGCACAGATTCGAGCTCCTTCAGTGCACTGTTATTTTCTTGAATCTTCTCCCTGGATTATGAAATCAAAGTTTAACGCAAGTCCTTCCCATCAACTATAAAAATTTCATTTAAAAGTTACCTTTCAATCTTTAGATTTTCTTCTATGTGAGACACTTTTTCTTGTAACTCGACCATTTTTGTATTGGTATCGTTGTGTGCCAATGCTGTGGCTTTCTCTTGCCATTTCAAAAGAGACAACTCTTTCAGCATGTAGGCTTCTGCTTCATTCTTGACACCCTGTTTTACCGATATATTGACTCTTAAGCAAAACATATCTGAATATGGTGTGCCAAAATCTAACATAAAAACTACACGCACCTCCAAGCCATCCCTTTCTTTCTCTGCCAACTTAACCATTTGCACCACTCCAGATCTCTTCTCATTGAGGGTTTCTAACCTGAACCAATAAAGCAAAACAGAGAATTAAGCATACGAGAATCCTACATCAGATTAAGAATTTCACAGATTCTTCTGATTATATACCATAAAGAGTAGAGAATCTAGAGATAATCCCAATCACTAATGCGTAGCTGCCAACATAACCATGTTCGATTATATAAGTCAAATGCTTACGTTGGGAAGCATAACAGTAGAATAATCAAAGTATATATGTATTATTATCTCAATTAAGAATGCTGATTGCCAATAGTAAGCAAAAAAATTACCTATTTCAATTTTCTGTACAATTTGTTCATGGAATTTTATACTCAGCTCATACATCACATATACATCTAAGTCTAACGTTCTGTTTTACATGTTACAAGAATACTATGTCGCTGGCAGTGACACAAGTAGCATGTATGTGCAATAAAAATGGGAAATGGATGCAGGAGGAAGGAACAGACAAAGTACTCACTCCTTCAATGACTCGTCAATTTTTTCTACATATTTATTAGTTCCGATGATGTCCTCAAGGTATTCCAGAAAGCCTTCATCATGGGGTCCTTGAGCTTTTGGCTTCATCATAGAAATCTGCTCTACTTCACCCTAATCAAAACCCACAAGAGAATTGTTAAAGTACCTTTTGACAAACTCCTTATGCAAACTAGACTAGCTGTGTGACAACTGTGAACCTGAAGAATCAAGAAACGGTTATTATCCAAGTCAATTCCTTTCCCTTTCAGTTTCCTCGTAACTTCAGTAAAATTGCTACCACGGTCATTGATGTAATATTTTGAAGAATTGTCCCGAAATGCCACCCTGGTAATTACAAAATCGCTACCAGGAACAGCTTCATATGTTCCATCATCCTGTAATCAACAGGCAAGCAAAGTTTTTTCATAGAACTAGGAATTTGCTGGGTTCTATTTTTCATCTTTTACTCTCAAAGATCAAAGAGTGGATAAAAACATATCTTGCAGTGGAGAGAACTTTACTTACCAGATCAACGATCTCCTGGAAGTGAACAGAAACTCCAGCACTATCCAGATTCTGGTGATTGGTAGAGTTATGGATAAGCTCCGAAACCTTATTTAATCGCATCTGCACACATAAATTGCCAAGTTAAGAGGGTAAAAAGAAAAGGCTAAAGAAGCAAAATTCAGATTTAAAACTTCATTCAAAGATGAAAATTTATAACTAAACCAAAAACAAACTTTAGCCTACTTGCTTAGCTCGCTTTCCGAATACGAACAGCATCGCATCAATCACATTGCTTTTCCCACTACCGTTCGGTCCAACAACTGCAGAAAAACTCTGATTCCACACAGAGCAAATAAAAACAAATACAAATTATAAATTTCAGTTACCAATTAAAAAATTTCTGGACTTGCAGATAAAGCCCTCTCACATTGGGAAAATGAAAAAGAAATTGAAAAATACACTTGAAATTAGTTTCCTTTTTTCCTCTTTCCGTTATAGACAGAGAAATTCAACTACCGACAGAAACAATAAAGAAACCCCAAACCTGAATTATACAAGATAAATCGGAAATAAAGAAACAGAAAAAGAAGAAAATCGAAAAACCCTAACCTTGTGGAAAGGGCCAACGCGCTGTTCGCCGGCATAGGACTTGAAGTTCCTCATCACCATTTCCTTGATGAACAGCCTCGGGCCTCTCGATCGTTCCGGAACCACCTCCGAAACGTCCTCCATTAACTCGTCCGGAGTTTCCATCGCCGATTATCTCCGATTCAACCAAAAAAAAAAGCCCTTTTCGGATTCTCCTGCTTCGCAAGTTCTCCAGCGAAGTTTATCGAGAAGATAGAACAGAAGATAGAACAGCGAAAATTGGGATTTCAGAGATTAAGCAGAAGATTTTTTTTTTCTCTGCTAGAGCATTACCTCCATTGTTGAGTAGATTTTTTAATTTTTAAGTTAGAAAAAATAAACTTTCAGCCAAAAAACACAAAATTGGGTATTAGCGGGAAACTGAAACAGCGATAATACTTTTGAGTTTTCACCTCTTTAAATATAGACAGAAAATATATGGGCCGTCGTTAGTCCAGCTTTGGCCCAATTACATGGTTTAGCCCGTTTCCTGCCCGCCATGGCAGACCCATCACCCAAAACAAAGGTATAAATAGGCAAATACCCTAAAAGTGCATAGGCCTTTACTCTTGGTTGTTGACCTTTTTAGTCAAAAAAATATATATATTAATAAAAAGATATTTATTAAGAATAAGAGGTAAAAGTTTAGATTCATATACTTTTAAGGGTAAATTTTTTATTTTTTCTATAAATAGCAAGTGAGAAAAAACCAAAATAACACTCTAGATGGTAAAAAATATTTTTTATATTACTCCATTTAAAATAAATAATTATCATTTAATTAATAAAAAAACTTAAAAGTAATAATGGTACCTAATTATTTAAAATGACATAAATAATAAATATGTACAATGATATTTAATTATTTAGAATGATAAACCGTGTATTTTTCTCATAGCGAAAAATGAATTTTTAGCACTTATGTGCCTGAAATTTTTTGTCGTTTAACAAAGGGCTTCCATCTTGAACTTTTTTCTTCCAAATGTAGTCTACATATTTTGCAAAGTGATAAGCAAATTTCCATGGACGAGTGTTGCAAAAAATTTAGGGGTCAACGCGTGTTTTAAAAAATATATATTTACACGGTTAAATTTATCCTCTGCTAACGAGTTAAGTTAATTTTTACCATTTTGTAGATTCAAATACTTATAAATAGCTAAGAAGCAAATTACGAATAGAAGTTCCATACCCATGAGACGCTCAAAACATAACAAAAGATCCCAATGTTTTTTAATGAATAATGTACCTTTTATGAATAAACCAATGTTAAAATCATTTTTTGATGAATAAGCCACTTTACAAATAATCCTATGTTGCCCATACTCATATATATACGCTTCATCGATGTGATTAAAGATGTTGGCCCAATTTATTTTACCGATTCAAGTTTAGAATTCGAGTTTTGTTACACTAAAAAGCTCTCAGAAACAGTCACATCTAACTTTTTTGCTACAGTAAAAAGCTCTCACATAAAATTACATTTCAACTCGAATTAGCGAACTAAACGAGACCGTTATATTGATGCATTCATTACACAGAAAATAATCCACAATATTAAAATTGAAAAAAAAAAGTTTTTAGCACATTTGCCCTCTAAACCTGTCGTGATTTAGCAAATTGCTCCTAAATTTTTTATTTTGGCAAGTTGCGCTCTCAACTTATAAAGTTATTGCAATGTGTCCTATTTTGATGACGATTGTGTTAAATTAGTGTCAAAAAGCACGTTTAGCTAAAAATTTCAACATTTCAATTCAAATGTAACACAAATATTAAAAATATTTTAACATTTAATCCCTTAAATCTAATAAAAAAAATTTGAGCAAATTTAGTTAAATGTGGCATATTGCAACAAATTTACAAGTTCGGATGAAAACTTTCTAAAAATAAAAATTTAAGGAGTAATTTGCTAAACCACGACAATTTCGGGGGACAATTGTGCCAAAAACCAAAAAGGAAAAAAAAAAAAAAAAAGATTTGTCCCTTACATTTCACTCACGTCTCTCGTCATTCTTCAAAAATTATGTCCCTGATCTCAAGTTAATTTATATAAAAGAATAAAGTGACAACAACAAATTTTATAACATTAAAGAGGGACATAAATCTTTATATCCATCAGCAAATGGGCATTCCTCTAAAATTTTCTATTAAAACTCGCAATTGCCTTATAATATAATAATTCAATTAGCAAAATGACTATTAAATTATTCTGAATTAGATTTTTTGATACTCAATTTGTGAACTGTTGTTACATATCATTTTTCCAAACCATTTCTTTGCTTTTGTTGTATAACAATGACAATTAAGTTTAATTACTAAAATTATTGAAAAAAGTTTAATTATTAAATTAAAATTGTCAATTTCTACGATTACACAATGATTAATATATGTGTACTTCTCGTCTCAACTTTTGTTTTCCTTCCTAATTACGACAAATTTTTCATTAGCAACAAATGGTGACAAAATTGTTTATCAATCCACAAATGCATAGAAAATTTGTTTGTCGAAAAGAAAACCCTAATGATACTCATACACGTACGTTAGGAAAAACAAAAAAACAAAACAAAACAAAAAAACAAAACAAAACAGTTTTTGTTATTGTTAATTTATCAGACGCTCCAACTTTGTCGCCTTACTTAATTACAACCAATATTGTTGATATGTTAACCATAAAAGGACAACAAACGTATCTCGTTATTTTAAAAGACGACAAATATTTCCGTTAACGTTACCCAACCTTGCTATTCTCTTTTACTAACTACGACAGATGTTTTATGAGCATTATTTAACGTCAAAATTATTTGTTACTCCATACATGCTAAATTTTTTTACCATCGAGAAAACCCTAATGATACTTATTACACGTGAAAAGATATTTTTGGGGACCATTAATAATGCCATACACTGGATTTGTTGTCTTCCATAATTATAATGTTATTGTCGATACATATTTCAATCCTAAAAAAATAATATAATTTATCTCGTTGTTTTAGAAGCGACAAGTTTTTTATTAACATGATTTAATGACGAAAAAATTTACTAATCTTAAAATATGCCAAACTATTCATCACAACAAAAACCCTAACGACAGTACTTATACAAGTGAAAAAAAAAAAAAAAATTCATGCGTTGCAATTAACTGTATCGTGCGCATATTCCAACTTTGCCGCTTACTATCTTAATTCTAGAAAAGCAGCGTGGTTGTTAGTTAGTCTTAAAATATAACAAATTAATGTCGATTACAACTACAACGAACTCAATTGCTTGTTAATCTTAACTTAAAACAAAATTGCTGTGGGATTAAATTCGAGTTTTAACTTTATATAAATGTCCGTGCTTACTTTTTTACTTTTTTTTCCTCTTCAATCAACAATATATAATGTTACTGCGAGTCTATGACCAAGTGCATTTCTTCATTTAGTAAATTTTTTTTTCTATTATTCCGGGGTGAGTAAGCATGGTTGGTCTTCTACTCCCCTTTGAATTTTATTAATTAAGCCAAGATTTTAATCATCAATCAAATCTTTTTCGACATTTTTTCCACGTGAAAGTTTTGTACATGGACATGTAAATTAATCCATAAAAAAATCGACATGTAAATAAAAAATCTTCAACCCCTCAAGGGAAAAAAAAAATCAGAAAACATTAAAGGTAGAAAACCTCATCCTCTTAATTAGCAAATGCAAAGTGCCTTAAGTGCACAGCCATAAAGATATTTTTCCTTTTCTGCTGAGGAGGAAAAAAAAGATATGTTCATTTCACAACTCAAGTCGTAACTTGAGTTATGATTTGAATTGTGTTTGTGAGATAAAAACACTGTAATAAAAAAGTTAAATTTAAATTTTTGTGAAAAAAAATACTGTAGTAATAAAACTTAAATTGTGACTTGAGTTGTGAAATAAATAAGACCAAAAAGACTTAATAGTAAAATAAGGAGAGGAAAGAGGAGGAATCTCTCGATGCAAGTTATGGCAAGATAAATCCAAGGTTTTATAACCGTCAAAGAGAGGGGGAAAAACCCCAGAAAACAACAAAAGAAGTAACAAATCATGAGCATTAAATAAAAAGCCATAATAACTAATAATGCCAGATTAACCTGATTTTTCTTTTCTTTTGGTGCTATCACGTACAATCTCACACAAACCATGCGTTTTACACAAATCCTTCCTTCGCCAACTGGACCCTCCGGACCCTGACCACCCCTTCTGGTTCGGGCTCGGTGTCAGCTTCGGTTACTCCGAACCCGAGCCTCCCTCGAGCCTATATATTACGAGTATTTTCCATGCAATGACCCTCACCCCAGAGAGTCAAAGCTAGAGTTAGTTCTACTCTTTCAAAATCCTCTCTCTCTCTCTCTCTCTCTCTCTCTCTCTCTCTCTCTCTGCTGGTAAATTTTGATTTTTTTTTAAAATAATTTTTATAGCTACTTTTTTTCGATTCAATATCGTAGTTTCTTGATATCTTATGCTTTATATTTGTTCATATATATAAAGCAAGCTATATAGAGTGTTAGAATTTTGCTGTTGTTTTTATACATTTGTTTTTCAAATGTTGGATTTTTTTTTTTGTTCTTCATTTTCTACCCTTTTTTTTAATTATTTTTCTTGTCCGTTAAAGAGTGTTCTATTGGATTGTTTTGTAGATGATGATTTCCTTATGCTTTGTTGTCCATTTGGACATAAATGCCGGATTTTATGTCGTTTTTGTTTTTATTTTGTCATTAGCTCGATGAAACTGTTCAAATGGAGAGCTCTACACTTTTTTTATTTTTTATTTTTTGCAATGCATAAGAAGAACACTAATATGCATAATTGTCTTTTGGCGGTAGATTTTAAATCTGCATCATCAATTTTTCATATCCAATCTGTATATATAACATAAGATAAGATCTTATACTTCTATCTCTTGTGTCATTTCATGAGCATTGATATAACGGTGATGATGATATAAATTAATTCTTTCTAGAGTTCATTAACCTTTTCTTCTTCTTTTTTTTTTCTTGTGAAATATTCTCCTTTTTAATTGCTTTCATGAAATGGACTCTTTTTGCAGATGAGTAAGGGAAAAAATAAGGATTTGAAGATTAATTGCATGGCTTATATATACATAAATATATATACTGCATTTGCCAGAATTATTAATTAATAAAATCCAAATTAACTCTCTAATGTTCATATATATTTTGTTTTTTCTAAATTAATAGGTTGAGAATGGAGAAATTAGGGGACTACTGTGAAATGGAAGTCCCAATTGACATCATCGAGTGCAGGATTTGCCAGGAGGAGGACTTCATGATCAAGATGGAGGTTCCTT